CTTGAATGTAAAATATACAGAATATAGAGCAAAGCTACAGAAAAAGGAAGGGGCACAAGAAAAAGACCAGAGCAGGGAGCTTAAATAATAATATATCAGATTTTATATAGGGCCTCTTGTCTTGTAGGCTCCCATAGTGTCCAGCACCAGTGCAATGCAGTGTGGGGAAATGTTACCCACAGACATTAGGACAAACCCTTATTCATATGGCAAGTTTCAGGGGCTCTCTAATGACAGGATCTGGGATGTTCAGAGCTGGGCGCAATGACTTTAGCTGAAAAGACAAGTTTTTGCCCAATCGTCTGCTTATAACAACCCCGCACCTCACACCCCCCTACACACATTAGAGTAACTTTTCAGTAATGCCCCCAAACACTGGTAACACAGCATGGCACGCTGCTAAATGCAGAATATGCTTTGCATAAAATGAGAGCAGCATTCAAATCAGCTGTGTGCAATATGCAGGTAAATGGATGTCTAAAATGAAGACCCTTTGAGAGGGATAGATGTGTGTGTCCTGGGAGTGTGGGGAGCAACTGCACAGCACATTGGCTGCTGTGGTGCCAGTGGTAGTGAGAGAGGAAAGCATTCACAGATGGGCTTGGGGCGAAGGGCCTGGGGCTTCCTGTGTGATGCTGGACAAATCACTTAATCTTGCTGTAGCTCAGATTCCCAGCTCTGAAATGGGGACGACGATTCCTTTGTCAGTCTCGTCTATTCAGACCGTGAGCTCTTCCGGTCCGTCTACACGGCCATGCAGCACCCAGCACAATGGGGCCAGGATCTGGCTTGGGGTCTCTGGGTGCTACCCTGATACAAAAAGCAGTAAGTGGCATCATTCACCGGTGAAGAGGAGGTTAGTGTCTCTGACTTTATGCCTAGCACAACGTTGCTCCACCATTCAACTGGCTGTCAAAGTGTCACTCTGAATAGGATGAGTCCATGGGGCTGCCTGCCATAGGAGGTCTCAATGACCTAGCAGCCCCCTTCCTGTCCTATGTTCCATCACTGGAATAAAGCTGTTCCTTTGCGTTGATAAATCCCGCTTCCACTCAGTCCAGTGGTTTAAGCCTTTCCTCTCTAAGGACCCGTTAATGAGTCCTGCACATAAGGGACAGCCTGCAAATGTTGACATCTCCACAGGTCTGAGGAGAAAAACAAAGCCCTTTCGGTTGTGCCTGTTTCAGTTTTTCCTTCGGTCCTGCCATGATTCTCCTCCCCTGGGGGGCTGTTTGGGTGGGATTTACACTCTTGGCCATTAAACCAAAGGCTCAGGCGCTCGGGTTTTGTTATAAACAACGTCTCCTTCACACTGAACTCGGGTTCTCCCAAGCGCTCGTGTTTTTCCTTGGACTATAAATTTTGTGGCTACAGACAGAGAAGCACCGAGACTTTGCTTCTCACACCATCAATCTCCACAGCATCCAAACAGCGGTCAGGCCGTTCAACGCATTCATCCCCCCTCCACACTTCTCCCAAGCCATGTCCTGCTTTGGAGTCTTCTGTTTTCACTTCAGTGGCTATTATTCCAGAGCCTGGTACACACCCGGCTCACTGCTAATCCCCTTGTGTATTGACTCTTTGCCACCAACATGCCTCACAGCCTGTCCCCTCTAGTCTTACCATTGGACTGACTATTTCTCTCTAATGTGTCTAATCAGATTGATGGCCAAGGCCCTTGAGGCACGGAGTAGCAGCCTTCCAGTGACATTCAGGGCTGACACACCAATAGGGCAATGCGTGGGGAAGCTTCCACCGTGGCTTGTCCTGTAGATATAGGACTTGATCCAAAGCCCATTGAAGTCAAGGAGAAAGGTTCCCACTGACTTCAGTGGCCATAGGGATCAGGCTCCTGGAGAGAACTTTAATCCCGCCGGGGCTGCCAGCTGGAGCCATTTCACCAGCACTAAATTCATACCACACATTATTTACTTATTGGAGAGGCACTGTGGTCTAGTGCAGCATTTCTCAACGACCGGTCCGTGGATCGGCTCTGGTCCCGGAGATCTGCCTGACACAGTTTAGGAAGGCAGCAAGCAGGACCCTGGTACCAAAGAGGTTGAGAAACACTGGTCTAGCGGATGGCATGTCAGCCTGGGAGACAAGACCATGGCTCTATTCCTGGCTTTACTGCGAGACAAGTCACTTTCCTCACCCTTCACACTTCCAACCCTTTGTATATTTAGACTGTAAGCTCCTGGGGGACAGGGACCGTCTCTTACTATGTGTTTGTACAGCGCCCACTATAATGGGCCCAGATCTCAGCTAGGTCCTTTAGGTCTTGTCGTAATACCAATAAATAGGGGGTGGGGTGTTCCCTTCCAGGCACTGCAGGTAGGTAAAATCCAACCCAGGGTGAATATCGGGGGGAAACCACCAACCCAATAAAACAAACAAACAAAAAGCCAAGTCAAACAAGCATTTTAGTTCTACGACAAAATAAATATTTCAACTCCAATTTGCCAAGATCAGTGAGACGACGGTTCACGATTCATAGGTATAACACCACTTTGTACGGCACAACACTCAGTGAGTATGCTGCAGCATGAAAAAGCCCTGGTGAGTACAAGTATTCACACAATATAAAATATGGTCTAGGGATATATGCTGGCTTATAGGCTACTTGCCTGGGCTACCTGTACTCTGTAATCACGCAGTGTTAATAGTCTGTCTTCACCGCTTGACTGATTCATTTTCAA